CTCCACCCCCCTCCTAAAAAAAATATACAATTTGTTATTTATAAGCTTGATTTTCAATGATGATAATGATAATAATAATAACAACATTGTTAAAAATATTGACATAGATCTAATTAATAGCATTTATTAGTGAAAATTAATTTAAATATAAGATTTAATAAAAAAAATGAGATTAATACTTTAAAAATAATATTTAATGAAAAATGATTAAATGAAGTGAAAAATAATAATTGAAGTTACTTTTTCAATCCTTACTATTAGAGATGGACTAAATACAAAAATATTAGTATTTTAGTAGTCATAAAAACTATAATAAAATGATTTTTATACCTTTTCTTAAACAAAAAATAAAAAATAATTTTAATAAAAAAATTATTAAAATTATGTATAATATAGATTACCTTATATATGCCAAAACCAAAGATGGCCCAACAGGACCGGTCCAATCCATGAATCAATTTGAGCGAAGCCCACTAGGGCTGTGCCCACGAAAGTTGGAACTTGGAAAGCTATGACGCGTTGTAAAGGTACCTCCTCTGGTGACGGTAAGTGACGCGCTCCCTCTCTCCCAGCCACGATCAAATTTCGTATATGAGTTGAATGCTTGCGTGGCTATCGGCGAAGCCAGTAGCTCGTGTAAGCAGCCTCGTCTCACGGAATACCGTCAAGACTTTATTGCCCTTAATGTTGCTAAAAATTATTTTACCAACCCTCATATTAATTAGCAATTAAGAAGCGGGTCGGCAGCGTCCGCAAGTCGAAATGGTCGGACCATTCAGTTACCTGCGGCAAAATCGGGTCTATCGAACAGGCCTGTTTTGGCTCTTTATTAAAAAAACATGAACATTTATTTATTGGTGCATATTTATAAGCATATGCACCAATAAATAAACACTGGCAAATATTTTCTTCCTCTTTTTGGCTTTGTCACTCTCTTTCCCGTTGGTTGTAATACACAGTCGTTCACCAACTAAACACTGTTTTTTTCTGGCAGTCTCGAGCTATGTTTTATATAGATATACATGTGTACATTGTAAATCTAACATGCTTATCCACTTTTTTTGTCCAAGGTTCAAGTATTTCCGTTCAACTGCGAGAATGTAAAGAGCTCCCTCTCTTTTTCAGGTTTATCGTTATGGATATTCGATCTACTTATTCCCTTCCTCTCTGGTATGTATCTAATGCTTCTTCGGTCTGTATCGTTATGGGTCTTTGCTCATTTATGTTTGAATAAGCGTCTTTCAAATTGTTTTGTTTATTAGAAAACAAACACAGGAAAATGAATTTTGATCATACTGTTTCTCAAGAAACAAACACTGGATGCAAAAATGGGAAAAAAATATATTCCTTTGTCATTCCATCATTTCTTAACAATCAAACGGACCATAAGGGATTATCAAGAGGGACAATTGCTTTTTTTATTAAGTTAAAAAAATATTTTCATTGATTTTAATTAATTATATTTTTATTAATTTAAATAAATTTAAGATACTTTTTGCCAAATATGTTAACCTGTCAAATTTTATTATTTATTTAAAATTTAATTTTACTAATTTTAGAGTAAGTTAATAAAACTAAGTGATTTAGTTTAATTTAATTAATAAGTTAATTGTGTAAATTAAGTTGTTGGTTTTTAATTTTCCCTTAGTTATATTTTTATATTACTTTTTCATTTTTAATGTTTTCTAGTAAATATTACTTCTAATATAATAAAATTGTATGTTATTTTTAGTGATATTTTTTATTTTATCAAAATATTGAACATTAAGTTGCAAAGTTTTTGTTATTAAAAAAAATCCCTTGTTTTATTGCATTTCCTATTAATAAAAAAATTTGTTAATAATTTTTATGATATATTCCCTTACGTTTCTTATTTTTTATTATTTTTCTAATTAATAAATTATTTATATTGAAAAACTGCTTGTTTACTTTTTTAAAAAAAATTGCATAACCGCTCGAATCGACCAAACCAAAATGTCAAACTCAATATGAACTAGTAATTGAAGCTAGTGAGGGTCGAATGTTTTTTGGTATTCAAATAACCAAACCTATAAACTTCATCTTCTTAGTGTGCTGCGCTTTTTGGGGCATTGGTTCATTTGTACTTTTCTCCTATGAAATTATAAGCAAAGTCAGGAAAATTAGTGGTTACATTTTTACATAATTTATAAAAAAAGAGTGAATTTTTAACAGAATTTTGTTGGAAAGTAATAGAAAATTATTTTATTCAATTTTTAATTATTAGTGAAATTAATATTTTAACAAAATATGTTAATTAATTGAAGTTGATAGTGCTTATAATATTAAGACATAATCTGTACAAATTTATATAGCAAATTTGGCTTGCCAAATTGGATCAACCATAGGGGTGGCAAATTTCTCCATATTGAATCAAGTTCTCGCCCCTCCTCAAATGGGGTGGATTTTCCCTAGGAATGGCAACGGGACGTGTTTGTGGTGGGGCACTCCACTCCTGTCTTTGGCTCGTAATCAAGATCCCCTACCCCATCCCTAGTGGTAGTGTGGGCTTGGGGTAGGCACTCCCTCCCCATTGGGGGCAAGACATCATTGAATTTCCTCGCCCAAGGTAATCACTTGAAAATATATAAAAATTTAGGGATATTTTAAACTGAGATCATAGGAATTTGGGGGTACTTTATAAATTATATTTTTGGATCATAAGGTTTTGGGAATTTGTGGGAATTCAATGGTAATTTAGTCAGATATTAATATTAATTTTATAGATATTTTAATGATTTACCACTAGGTTTGGGGAATTATATGCAAACATTGTCCCCGCTTGTTCTCGATTTTAGGTAAAAATATTTTTCCGATCCTCGACGGGCCGGCCCGACCCCCGGATGGGCTTGAACATGCTTATAGGCTCGCGGGCTTAAAGTCGGGCCAAAAAGCCCAGCCCGCAATAAATTCGAGCCGGGCTCGGGTTTTGTCAAAATAGCCCGGCCCGGCCCGACCTAATATTAAACTTAAAATTAGTTATGTGATTATGTCCATTTGAATACATTTTTTGATTTAAGAATGTAAAATTGTGTTTTAAAATATAAAAGAAAGGGAAAAATACCATCTTGTAAGCCCGTTGTTCATTTAAATATAAATACTATCTGAATTTTTATTTCTAATTTGAATAGGGAAAATTGTTTTTTTTTTCAATTAGGTTGGGCTTTGGGCTCGGGCTCGGGTTTTGGAATTTTTACCAGGGCTGGGCTCGGGCTCGAGCCTAGTATATTTTCATTAGTGACAAGTGAAAGCCCGGCCCGAGCTCGGCCCGGCCCATGAACAGGTCTAGAGCATAGCCTTAGCTTTATAAGGAATTTGCCATCCCTAATTTTCCTTAATCTTAAACGATGATAGAGTGTAGATGGGAGAAACTTTTTTTGTCAGGGACAGGAGAAACTTTTTTTTTTTTTGCCTTGAACCAGGTAAGACCAAAAAGTTAAAATTAGATTATTTATTGGGCATGTAAGATAGATTGGGAGTATGGGTGGATTCAACTTGAGCTAAGTTGAATATCTAGCTACTTGAACTCGGCTTGCAAATAAAACCATTAGGCTCAAGCTAGGGGCTTGAGCTCAAATTTGACTTGAGTCAAAAGCTCGTAAGTTTGAGCGAGATTGTGAGCCAAACATTATGTGTATATATATATATATATATATATATATATATTTGACATATAAAAAATTAATTATTATTATTATTATGTATAATATATTTGTATGTTTATTGTTTTTATATGTATGTAAAAGCTCAATTAGGCTCCCAAGTCTCACGAACTAAACTTTATTGGGCTTGAGATTGACTCGATTAGCAAGCAAGCCTATATATTAGGCTTGAACTTGACTCAAAACTTGATTTAAACTGAGCTGAATCAAGCTTTTCACAAGCCTCCTGGCCACTCCTAATTAAGAGATGTCTTAGAAGGATATTTTAGGTGTCAATTGAACTTGGCTCAAAACTTGATTTAAAATGTAATTTAAATTGAACTTAAGCTAAAACTTGAACCTAATAATATTTTTGACGAATTGTACCAAAGACATGCCAAAGCTCGGCTTGATGCACCCTTGATCCCGACTACAAACCTATGAGATGATTCTAAAATGGTTCTACACGAATATATCCAACCATTGATAGCTTTAATGGGTGAATTCACGCTTTAGTGGATATGAAATCCAAACTATTGTAAAAAATAACCATATCGCTTAAGCAAAATTAAGATGGAAACACAATTAAAAATAATTCTACATCCAATAACCAAACGTAGTCTAAGAAAATTTAAGACTGCAATTTGGATTGGGCCAACTCGAACCCAACCCAATCCAACTTGAAAAGAAAAAATAACCCGGTTGCCTTGGGCTCAAAAGACTAACCCATATGAAGTCGGTTTGGGTTAGGATTATTCTAAATGCAGCTTATTCATCTAAGGAAAATCTATGATAAGGGAAAAATATGATATAAAAGGAGTTTTGATCAATCAAAATCCATCCATGAATTTTGATAAACAATACCTGATTTGTTACTATATTTATGATTCCAATTTATTGGCCAATTATTTTTCGAATATCATATCTTTTTCCATATCATAGTCGAACATTTATCTAACATCGACAATATTTTCTACGAATATTAATACTATCCATCAGACCATCACATGGCGAGATGTTCCTGATATTCGGCTGTAGTGATGTGGGTAAGTATGGATTTGTTGATAGCAGATCCGACGCCTAAGGCATGCCTCTTGATTGCCACGCCGTGGAAGAAAAAAAAGTAAAAATACACAGATTCCGATTGAATGGCTATGATTTTGATGTTTGGTCAATAACTTGGTTCACTTACCAAAGAAAAACATGTTTGTCAAGCACAAATTACCAAACAGGAAATTATTAAACTACAAGGGCAAAATTTGATAATTCCACTAATTTTGATTTACTAATTCCTCAGTGGTGTATTAGTAATTCTTCTAAAGAATATGTGGCATTTGCATTTTGCAAACTTTCTTAGCATCATATTCCTCGGCTAGCTCCCATCTTCCGGTGGCCAGGTCTTCTTCCTCCGCAATCTTGCGATCTCCCGAAACAACCCAAAGAGAGGTACAGAGGAGTAAGCAGAGGCAGACGCAGGAACAAGGAAAGATGTGGCGCTGCGTTTCTCGTGGCTTTCGCCTTTCTTCATCTGCTTCATCGAAGAGATCGATCTCCAGCGAACCTCTTAAACCCCTCATCTCAAGATTCTTCTCCACTCAATCAGTACGTCCTTTTATTTTTATTCCTATTCAGCAAAGTTTCTCACCTAGTTGGAAGTTGGAACTCAATTAGAGATAATACCCCAACTTTAAATTCGTGCTGGACACTTGTTTTTCTCTAATCTGTTTCCCATTTTGTTTCCTTTTATTCTCATTTTTTTTTTTTTAGTTTTTTAACTTGATGATCGGGTGACATTTTACCTTTTTTTCCTTGCATAGTTTCAGTGTCTGGCTGTCTTTTTTTTTGGTTGATTTGGTTTTGCATTTTGTCTTTCTCTTATAGATATTTTGTTCCGGTTTGTGCTTCTTGTATAGATGTTACAGTAGAATCTAAAAAGTAATTTTTATTGGTATTCGTTTTTTCGTGATCGTTTTCGTGTCCTTATTGTGGCAGCCTCGATTATCTTACACCATTGTTGATCACACATACGATGCTGTTGTTGTTGGAGCTGGTGGCGCTGGGCTTAGAGCGGCCATTGGACTCTCTGAGCATGGGTTCAATACAGCTTGTATTACCAAACTTTTCCCAACTCGTTCACATACTGTCGCAGCACAGGTACGAACACTTTAAGGGTTTTGGAGGCCTGTTTTAAGTTAGTCCTTTCCCATGCATGATATTTAGTTTTTTTCATTGCTCTGGACCATCCAAATATTGGTTGACCCATTACTTCGGGTTTTGATATTCAATGAAGAACCTTTGTTTTTGATATTAAGACCGAAGTAGAGCCATATTGGTGATGTGGAGCTGTTCATGCGGTTAATGTCCAGAGTGCTAGTCCATCCCTTTAATTGATTAATCCCTGAAGTGTATGCCATCCTCGGTGGTCCAAAGTGAAGGTCATTGACCGTATTTTAAGATCATCTTTAGTGTGTTGAACTCGTTCTATCTATTTTTGATGATTGGCAAATTATTGAAAGAAGAGTCAGCAAAAAGTGCAGCACTTTACCTTTTATTAAGTAAATAAAATGTATTTCTAACTCCTTACAGAGCTAATAATCTGTATTGGTCAGAGTATGGATCACAATAATTATTGACCAGTAATCCAAACAGTATAAGTCAGTTATGGAGCCCATAGACATATTAATCCTTTTTGATTAGTAGCCATGCAGAGAAAGCATATCTCCTGGTTCATGTAACAACGATCATATTCTATAGCCAGGAACCATCAAAGCATCAACCACACTTGTTTTGGGGCATTAGTCACCAACTAGTGGCAAATTCGTGCAACTTTTTAGTGCAATAAGTGCCATGTGGCACTAAGCCACATTGTGATCAGTGGCTATTTATTTAATCCCATGCTTTTCAGAACCTGTTATTAGAACAGAATGCTCTGTTATGAATTATTATATTCAAAGTCTAATGTAAAATCCTATGTTTGACAAGGTAAGATTGGTTTGCTCCCATATTCCAAAGCGTTATTAAAATCAGTGTTGTTAGACTTGAACTGGACTGGATGGTTGAACCAGTGGCCCAGTGACTTGGTGACCTTTTGAGGTCCTGGTTAATTAATGGGTTTCATGGTCAGAACAAGCTAAATGACGAGTTAATTGGTAAAACTGTGATCCAATGAGCATTCTGTTTTTTTTGTCCATCCTATTATGATAACATTACTTCAAATTTAAACTACACAATTTCAGGGGGAATTGATTTTTCATTTCCATATGTAGGAATTCACCCCCCCACAATAGAGCCATGTACAAGTTGGAAACTCAATATTGGAATCGATAAAAGAAGTCAGAATAGACAAGAGAAATGGAAACGAACTCGTGTGTATGTCACCATTTTACCCATGGGAAAATTGGGGTTGCTTGGAATGTTTTGCACTTATCATGGGGATGGCTGGCTAAGGGATGTTTTAATGGGGAAGAATTGTTGTAGTACTTCGTAGCTTCAGTAGTTTGTTGGGTGTATTTGGAATCAATCTAATCAAATGGGGTTTCTAAAATAAGAGCGGTAAGAGGCCCAAGTTATTGGTAGGATGAAGCACCAAGTTTTTGGGTGGGCTCAAGGCTTGAATTTGTTGAACTACATTTTGTATATTTCGCAGTAAATGGGAAATTACATTTTTCTAATGCGCTTTGATATCGAATATAGATTTTCATACTGTGGTTAAGTTCCTTCTGATGTTGTGTGTATGGGTTGCTCTTTTATTGTAGTGATACTGTTATCCCTATTAAAAGAAGAATAAGGAACAGATTTGTGCTAGTCCATAAATGGCAAAAAGATGACTCTATTGGTGCTTACTTTACTCAACAGACTATACAATCAAATACAATGACAAAGTGGGATGCTTTAAATTACCCACAATGGATGAACAAAATAACATTTCTATTGTCTTTTTGATCAATAACTGAAACATTTCAGAAATGTGGAAAAGTACATACAACCCTTAGGTAGGGTAGCAATTGCTACCTTACCTCAATATCATTATTACTGTTACAAGCAAGTCCAATACAATTGATTCCTGTTAACCCCTTGCTTAGCTAAACCATCAGCTAACCCATTTGTAGATCTCTGCACCCATTGTGTCTTTATAATTGTGCTCCCTGTCAACCATTCAATCTGTTTGAGTTCATTCTTATAGCCCCACACTGCTTTCTCACTATTTTTTAGCCATCCAGTTACAACTTTAGAATCACCTTCAATGACTACATTTGTGATGTTCAATTCTTTCACCCACTGTAATCCATGAAGCACTGCATGAAGCTCAGCCCTTGTGGAGCCCTGTGGCTAATTGGTCCTGAGAACATAGCAGTGATATGTCCTTGAGCATTTCTAAATACACATCCCACACCTGATGGAGCCGGATTTCCAACGTTGTTCCTGTCGAAGTTTAACTTGATGAAGGCCTCCTTAGGTGGTGTCCATTAGTATGGATTTTTGATTTCTTTGATACGGATACTGCCACCTCTCCCTACTTTCTCCACAAGTCACCATGTGTAAATGGTGAGAATAGCTCTGTGGACTTAACCCAGTGCACCACCTTAGCCATTATGCATTCAAAGATTGCTTCCTAACTTCTCTCATTAAAAATTCTTGCTTTTCTTTCCTCCCATATCGTCCATACAGTTGCAGCCCTTGTACACCTTCATAAAACCCTTCCTCTTTTTTGTTGGCCAATCAAAGGTCTTTGCACAAAACAGTCTTGCCAAACTTGAGGGCTCTGTCTACCTACAACCAAAGAGAGAAAAACTTTTCCCAAACACAAGCAACAAAAGGACATGATATTAGTAAATGATAAGAAGTCTCATAATTACTTTCAAAGATGCACCAGTTTAGGGATAGCCTGAAATTTGAACATTGCACCATTCATTTCATAAGACAGCATTACTTTCAATTACCAATAAAAAAGCTCAATTCAACCCGACTAAGCCTAGTCCCAAATATATGGGACTGGTTAAATCACCAATAAGAAAACCAATAAAAATATCCCTTTCAATCATAAAATTCAATATTCCATACTCAATATAATCAATTGTATTCAGCTAAGTGGAAAGAAATTTAATATCATGAATTTCTATTTGACAAGAATGCTAACAAATAAGTAAAGTAACGGACCATTGAATTCTAAGCTAGGAAGCATTGAAGCAATAAACTAAGCAAGTAGGCAATGTAAAACATACACAAATGAATCATATAGTATAGTGTAGCATATAAAATTTGATAAGGTGCTCACTTGACTTTGCATTTTTTGTTGCCTAAGAGGGTGCCTAATGTGTATGCATATCATGTGGCATAATAAAGCACCCCTCCCCTGTGGCGAAAATGCCTTGTTGGCTAGGTGTTTTTTTTCATAAATATGTTTACTAGGTGTCTTGATAACCATGATTTATCTTGGTTGTGTAGTTCACAGGATTTGGAACCCTGAACTAAAAGGAGTCCTTCATTGCCACAGTGGTTATAATGCCCTCTTGTTGGCTAGGTGTCTTGATAACCATGATTTGTCCTGGTGGTGTAGTTCACAGGATTTGGAACCCTGAACTAAAAGGTGTCCTCCATTGCCACAGTGGTTATAATGCACTTCCTTTGTTCCCTTATAATATTGTGTAAAATCTTCTCATCTCTCCTAATATCAGAGCTTTTTATTGAGAAGCTGATCACAAGAAATGAAGCACTTGGTATATTTCTCCTTGCACTTGCATCCTATGTTTAGGAAAACATGGAATGGAACATCGTTTATTTTCCCATTTCAAGTGCACTGTTTTCTTTTTTTGGGGAAGATGTCACTCTTTTTCTCAAGATATGTAAAATGTTCTCCTAGTTGGCATTGCTACCCCTTGGCATTAGGGGCAATATCATTAGAACGTTCTCAATTATATGACAAAAATCAATCTTTCTAAGAGCTCAATAATTGCAGTTGGAGAAGTGGGGAGGGATTTGCTGAGGGAATCTGCTGATGTCTTGGAATGCAGGACTGGAGAACTCCCTTTCCCTTATTTGGGATTGCCGGTTGGGGGTGCAATGAAATCAGTGAATCTGTGGAAACCACTTTTGGAGAGAATAAATAGAAGGCTGGATGGGTGGAAAGCCAAATATCTATCCATTGACAAGACCCCCCCCCCCCCTTTCAACAAATGTTATGCATATTTATTCTTCTTAGTATAAAAGATTTTTATTAAAAATAAAGAAAAAATGCCTAACCCCCCCTCCTCTTAAGGAGGCTTACACCTCCTTGTGTTTGGGAGGCTTACGCCTCTTGCATTCTGAACTATGCCTCACGCCTCTAGGTAGTGGAATGCCTCGCCTCACGCCTCTGCATTTTAAAACATTTTTGATTGCCTCATTAATGGAAGCATAGTGGTGGAAACTTAGAAACATGGTTATCGTGTTCTCTTTTTGGTCAGGCTATTTATGTTCTATATCTATGATCTTCAGGATTTCTCTAGAAGTACTGCCATGTAAAAAAATTTCCTGTAAGTATACCTAGAAATAGTATAAAATCAATTCTTGACCATTACATATGTATGCATGTATGTATGTCTGACAGGTACAAATATTGGTTTTTAGGTTTATTCTGTAGACTTCTGTCAACAATTATCACATGGATGTGTTACTAATTTTATGTTAATGAACTTAATGCAGGGTGGGATAAATGCTGCATTAGGAAATATGAGCGAAGATGATTGGAGGTGGCATATGTATGACACAGTCAAAGGAAGTGATTGGTTAGGTGCAGTACCTGTTTCAACTAGAAGTTGTTTTCTTCCAAAATATTGGTGTTCCCTTCACTTGATAACTAAGACTTGGTCTTTCTTGTATGAATTATTTTGAGCGAAAACCTTATGCTTCTTATATTATATGAGCTTCTTTCCAGCCTTGACCAGGAGAAATTCACTTAAGTGTCATGTGGTACACATATTATATATATTTTTTCAACATTCTTTCCTGCATTTCCCAACTGTCCTTTAGGTGTATACCTACTGGGAAGATCCAACATTTAATGTATGCCATATTAATGGAAGCTAGTGGTTAAATTTTTTCCTCTTGTGCTGATGCAAATCCCATCAAGAGTTATTTTGATTGATTAAGAATTTCTCTTGAGGCCTTTTTGTTTCTTTTCTTTTTCCAAGTGTTAATACTTACTACACAAGTGTATTGGGTTTGTATAGGTGATCAGGATTCTATTCAGTACATGTGCAGGGAGGCACCAAAAGCAGTCATAGAGCTTGAAAATTATGGATTACCATTCTCTCGAACTGAAGATGGGAAAATATATCAGCGTGCATTTGGTGGTCAAAGCCTGGACTTTGGAAAAGGTATCAAAATGCAAATTCAGTACAAAATTTTCAATTACATGAATTATCTGGAAAGTTGCTTATTTTACGTTGCTATTATAGGTGGACAGGCCTACCGTTGTGCATGTGCTGCTGATCGAACTGGCCATGCTTTGCTGCACACATTATATGGTCAGGCAATGAAACATAATACACAGTTCTTTGTGGAATATTTTGCATTGGATCTTCTAATGGACAGTAATGGTAAGTTACTACAGATGTGTAAACTCTTCCCCACCGATAAATGTCTCAATTTCTTCTGGTTTCAATTTGATCATTGCAATTTGGTTTCTAGCTTTTTATAAGTGCTATTTCTTTGATTAATAAGAAAGTTCCTTAAGAATGGTTTTTATTTTTATGACATTGTTTTTCCATTATTTAAGGACTATGAGATGTGACCTCAAAGTTCAGATGCACCACACAGACAAAGAATAACTGTTGAAATATCTATTCCATTATAGAGTTTTACACTTACTACAAACATAACAGTTGTACTTTAGAAAATTCCTTTTCCCAGAATACCTAAAAAGAATTTGTTGAACTCATTTTTGTCCCTGGCTAGTTTCTTTTAGATGTTATTTGCTTCTAAACTTTGATATTCACTTCAGACAATAAATTTTAGTATGTGAATTAAGTCTACATTTTTATCCTAAAAGCATCCAGATCTGCCACCTACGATAATGCTACCCACACCTAGTCAAAGAACATTACAGCCACACATTAGGAACATCTCCCCATAAATGAGAACATACAAGTGTGTAACTGTGTGAGTAAGATGTTTCCGATTTGTGGTTGTAGTGTCTTGTGGGTAGGTGTGGGTAGCGTTCTTGTGGGTAGAAGATTCAAGTGCATCATCCTAAAACTCTTTTCAAGATGTTTTAAGGAAAATAATCATGTTTTTCCATTTCTCCAGATTTTTTTTTCTGATTTTCCTAAAACAGAGAAATTTCAGCTAAAATTTGGAATTCTGGCTCAAATTTTTAGACTGAAATTTGGTGATTTCAATTTTGTTCACTTCAATCATTTTTTTTGATTATGTGAAATTTCATTGAATTTTGGTAACAGTTGCAACTTTTTCTTGATTGGCAAGGCCACCCACCTGAACATTCCACAAGTTCATTAAGTAACCTGGCTATTACATCCTTTTTCTTGTACGTGATGATCATACTAGATTGTGACACTACCATGGCTGGCCCTTGTGTATTATCATTGGCTTGAAATTTTAAAGTTGTCCTTTCTAATTATATTCTAGTATGAACATCCAAGCCAGTGAGCCATAAATGCAAGGGGTTATCATGATGAGAGTTCATCTAATCATCAACTTCTATGTAGCACAGGGGTTGAAGTCAGCATATCCAACCCAATGAGCAATTTAAAATGACCTTGTTGATATGTCTTTGGTCCTATTATTTGCCACCATTGGGTTCTGGTGAAATTAAATAACATGCTACTCTTTTGTATGCATGTGTAATGGAAATTAATTGCTTATTTTCTTGTTTTTTAGGTACCTGCCAAGGAGTAATTGCACTAAATATGGAGGATGGGACACTACATCGGTTCCATGCTGCTTCAACAATTTTGGCAACAGGGGTATCCACTATCCCTTTTGAAACTCTGTGTTCTTATATTATCTGAAATATTGATTTATATTTTCTCCCTTTTTTACTTCATGCTTCTATCAGGGCTATGGTAGAACTTATTTTTCTGCAACCTCAGCTCATACATGTACAGGCGATGGAAATGCCATGGTTGCACGTGCTGGGTTACCTCTTCAGGTTTCTTTCTTGTTTTTAGAGTTCTGGAATAGCTTTTGTATCAATTTGCTTTTTTTGACTTGCTACCATACCATAAGTACTTGCATATTCTTTCCTGTAGGATCTTGAGTTTGTGCAGTTTCACCCAACGGGTATATATGGTGCTGGATGCCTAATTACTGAAGGTTGGTATTGTTTATTTGCTGTTAAAAGTACTTCTGGATTTTTTTAACTTCAGAGAAAAATGGAATTTGTCTATGGCTTCCCTTTTTGGCTTTCAATTTATTCAAGAACAATTTTTTTTTGGTTTCTATATGCATCTTGTAGGATCTCGTGGTGAAGGTGGTATTCTTAGGAACAGTGAAGGTGAGCGGTTTATGGAACGGTATGCCCCTACTGCCAAGGATCTTGCATCAAGGGATGTTGTCTCAAGATCTATGACAATGGAAATACGAGAAGGTCGTGGCGTAGGTATGTCCCTGTCAACAGAGTCAGATATTCCAAATGCTGTGATAAACATTATCATGCTATCCGCTTGTTTTGATTTATGTTAAATAGAACATGTTATACATAACAGGCTGGGTGATCTCTCTAGTTGGTAGGCGGTAGGTTTGTGGTATGAACTTGCATGAAATATATGGTGGAACTAGCTGGCTTGTGTCAACCCTAGTAGTCTTAGCGTCTTCTGCTTCCCAGAAATCGAAATATCTGCTGCTTTCAGTTGTGCTGGGTCTTTGAACTGGTATCAATTCATGACTTGGGGTTTTTCCCCAGCATCATAATTTAAAACAGCATATATACTGTATACACACATACATGTATATGTGTGTGTGTGTCTTAAATTTTAAGTCTCTCTCTGGTGAGAGTATTTTATTTTTTAGTTTTTTTTCCTGATTGATGGGGGATCTAGCTATTGCAGCATTTGCTTGCTACATCTATTTCATCTTCCTAGCCACTTTGGCATTAACCTTCCACTGTTCCACAGGACCATTGAAGGATCACATCTATCTCCACTTGAATCACTTACCTCCAGAAGTTCTCAAGGAGAGGCTTCCTGGAATCTCTGAGACTGCTGCCATTTTTTCTGGGGTTGATGTTACAAAGGAGCCCATCCCAGTTTTACCTACTGTTCACTATAATATGGGTGGAATCCCTACAAACCACCATGGAGAGGTATGTATGAGCATGATATTTGCAGATACTGTGGTTTGATTATTTATTTTAATTTCAGGCTATATTTATGACAAGCATGGTGATACCAGTGCTTGATTTTATTTTCTATTTTTGGGCTACATTTCCATTTTTAATAACATTATATATATATATATTCTTTTTCTCAGGTAGTTCGCATTAAAGGTAATGACCAAGATGCAGTAGTTCCCGGATTAATGGCTGCTGGAGAAGCAGCATGTGCATCAGTTCATGGTGCCAATCGGCTTGGTGCAAATTCACTACTTGATATTGTTGTTTTTGGCCGAGCTTGTGCAAATAGGGTAGCAGAGCTCCATAAACCAGGTTAGCTTTCATCATCTACACAGTTTTCTTCCTGTGACTTATATCCTAAATTCATGTCATCTACTTGAAAACTTCACAGGGGAGAAACAAAAGCCATTGGAAAGTGATGCTGGAGAAAAAACCATTGCATGGCTGGATAAACTAAGAAACTCAAATGGTTCATTGCCAACTTCAAAAATCCGTTTGAATATGCAACGGATAATGCAAAACAATGCTGCTGTTTTCCGTACTCAGGAAACATTAGAAGAAGGTATTCCATTAAAGTCTTTACTTTCGTTTTATTAACTTATTTATGACCTTAAATTTTGCTGTCTAAAATGAACAAACAATTAATGCATTCTGATCATTTCCACCTTGCTTTAATGGTCTCCTTAGGTTGTCAGTTGATTGACAAAGCATGGGAAAGCTTTCATGATGTTAAGTTGAAGGATCGGAGCCTGATATGGTATATAGCCTACGCGTTTTGTTGATGATGGCATTAACCTAAAGCCTCCCCTCCTAGCATGGACCTGACATTTTTACACCTTTTGCAGGAACTCAGACTTGATAGAAACTATAGAATTGGAAAACTTATTGATAAATGCATGTATAACCATGCATTCTGCTGAGGCCAGGAAGGAGAGTAGAGGAGCACATGCCCGTGAAGATTTTACGGTCAGTTCAGTTCTTCTGAAAATTTAGTTGCTTTGCTTTGGCTACCGTGAACTCTATATACTAATCCGGTTTTGGTTCTGCAGAAAAGGGATGATGAGAACTGGCTGAAACATACACTGGGGTAAATGTTCTCTTTTCTTCCCTTATTTGGCACTGCAGGCTTATAATTGTAGTAGTCATTGCAAGGGATCCCATATGAGCCTTGGCCTGTGAGGTCGAGATTTGAGAATTCCTATGGTTAACAAATCATGCTTGTTTTCTTGTTTTCTTGCTCAGAAGTCCAAATCGTTCCTGCAGTGTTTGATGAGCTCATAAGCGATCTTTTTTTGATCTAAAAAAATAAAGGTTACTGTTTTCTGTGCGTTGGATTCAATTAGGATATTGGGTCTTTGCAAACTCATGTGAAATGACATATGGTTCCTAGCAACAGTATAGCTGAAGGAAGGTCTAATATATTTTTTGAAACAGGTAGTATTGTCTTGTTTTAAAATATGAGAGTCAAATAACATCAGTCCATGTACAATGAGAGCCTGTACATTGGGAATATACAAAAAGATTCAACGAAAGAAGGGTCCAGCTCGCAAAAAAAGAGAAAAGCTGGACACTCTTGAATGCCCTTTGTACCAAGGCTTTTAAAAACGAACCAGAAACAGAACCGGTCAGGGGACTGGTTTCTGGTTAAGCGATTCAACTGTCCGGGTCGAACAGTTCGACCCGTGACATCATAAATAAATTAAAAATAAAAATATATTTATAAATAATAAAAAATAGAATAAAATTAAATAAAAAACAGAAAAATACAGAAAATATAACTATCTAAATACAAAAATAATACAATACAAAACACATGGAAAATATAAAATAAAATACAGAAAAATTCTAACAAATACAGAAAAAACACAAAAAAATTCAAAAAATACAGAAAAATAAAACTATCTAAATACAAAAATTACAAAATACATAACAAATAGAAAATACAAAAAAAAAGGAGTCCTCTATAACAGCCTAACAATGATCCTCTTTTGTTCTCCCTTCTTCTTCTTCACTGCGATAAACAATGGAGCCGACAGTCTTTGTTCTTTGTAACAAGGATGGAGAAAGTTAAAAAAACGATAAAATAAAAGCAAGAGGATGAGGAAGAATGAGAATGAGAACAAGAATTAGGTAAAACAAATGGAGAGATCAGAAGGGGAGGAGCAGCGACACTGTTCTCGCTGCTCGCGAAGCAGAGTAGATGTGCTCCTTCGAAAACAAAAGCAATAGATTTTTTGAGAGAAGAAGTTATCTTAACTTATGTAAAATCGCCGGCTGCTGCCGCTCCTTATTTCTCCTTGTTGCTGTTGATTACAAGAGTAAGGAAATCTACCATTACAAAATCGCCGACCGCCGTAGATGAAACCCTTTTGAGGAAGGAAATTTGGACGACAATCGCCAGTCGTCGTGATTCCCCGTCGGTCGTGGTTGCCGCAGGTTGTCGGTCGCGCTGTTGGAGTATGAGAAGGAAGGCTGGAACTTGGAAGGGTTAGAACGAAAATGAACTTCCGTTCTAACCCTAACTCGTAAGGGGAATCGGGGGACATGAATGAGTTCTTTTTTGTTTTTTTTTTTTAAATCGAACAAAAATGAATTTCGCTACCCACGAACCACTGCCCGGGTCGAACGGTTTAGCGGTTCGACTGCTCGGGTCAGCGGTTTTTGACTTTTCCAACGGTTATTTACTAAATAATGGTTTATAGTATAACTGGACCTGGGGGCTGAACAATTACCGGTTTTTCCGGTCCGACCGTCTGGTCCGGTCTGGTTTTGAAAACCATGCTTTGTACACTTAACTAGGAACACAAAAAGCTTACAACCTTATTTCTAACTGAAGCTACATCAGAATAATTGTTATCAAAGATCCGAATGTTTCTTTCCTTCTAGAGAGCCCATAGGAGGCAGATGGAAAAATCCTCCAAAGCAGTTTGCCCCTAGCATTCAAACCCTTGAGGAACCACCCTTGTAGAAGTTGAAGGACTAGTTCAGGTAAACAGGATTGAACACCAAAACATGACCAAGCGGTCCAAGCCATTTCCCACAGTTGGGAAGAAAAACTGCAATGGATAAAAAGGTGATTGGAGGATTGAAAAGTCTCATTGCATAAGGGGCACAGGATATTAGAAAGAAGCATCCCCCTTTTGAGTAGCCGATTAGTGGTAAGACATTTACCAAGCACTGCAGTCCAAACCATGAAGACAACCTTGGACGGGGCATGGGAATTCCAGATCAAAGCCCAAGGGAAATCAATGTCCTCACAAGATGTCAAATTGTTGTAGGACTGAGAAGAAAACTTGCTTGAAGAACTCCAAGACAAGATTCTTTCATCATTAGTCTGAGGATTAGGCAAGATGCTTTGAACAAGGCTTAACAACTTAGTCAATGGGCCAATTTCCCAATTATTTAGATTTCTTCTAAAAGTGGGACCCCAAACAACCTCCCCATTCAGAGTCAAAGCAGCCTTCAACTACAACATCCTTATCAAGTGCAATTTCAAAAAGAGAGGGGACATATCCTGTTCTCACACCATTGATCATGCCAGAATTTGAGGTAATTACCTTTACCAACCTTGGACGTGATGGCCTTCAAGAAATATATTGCTCCATAGAGCACACCCCTTTGGGGATAGACCAGGGCCTGAATCCCAACCAAGGTTTGTGAGCCCGTATTTATCTTCAATAATCCTTCTCCATAGACTGTCTTTCTCTTTGTTGAATCTCTAACACCATTTACCCATAAGAGCCTTGTTAACCATTTTAATATTTCTAATGCCAAGGCAACTAGATTTTCTAGTCTGGCACACAGGTTTCTAGTTCATTAGATTAAATTTAAAACTGTTCCTCCACCCAACCCATAGAAAGGCCCTCATTTTCTTCTCTAAGATCCTTGCAACACTTGTAGGTAGGGGTGGATTCGAGCCGAGCCGAGCCGAGCCGAATAGTACGAGGCTCGAGCTCGGCTCGCCAAGGTTGTATAAGGCTCGAGCTAGAACATTGAGCTCAAGCTTGGCTCGAGTCAAAAACTCATAAGCTCGAGCTCGGTTCGGCTTGGCTCGAGCTTGATTTGAGGAAAAATATTTTATAAAAATAAAAAATTATATATAAAAATATTTTTATTTGATATTTAAAAAATTAAGAATTATAATATTTTTATTATATATATTATTTTCTATAATTATATATATATATATTCACGAGCTCGGCTCGTTTATTAATCGAGCATGTAAATTGGGCTCGAGCTCGGTTGAAACCGAGCCGAGCTTGAGTAGCTCGTGAAGAGCTCGACTCGTTGCCACCCCTACTTGTAGGAATTTGGAATAATTACAGCGCTCGGTTGAAACCGAGCCGAGCTTGAGTAGCTCGTGAAGAGCTCGACTCGTTGCCACCCCAACTTGTAGGAATTTGGAATAATTACAGCTAATAAATTGGGAGTGAGGACAAGATACTCTGGATCAAGGTGAGCTTACCTCCTTTTGACAGGTATTTAGATTTCCATATGGACAATTTCTTGTCAAATCTTTCAATAAAAGTATCCCAGATCCTCTTAGAACTCTGCACCTAGCACCTAGGGGGTAGGTCAAGATAAGTGGAGGGTAGCTTCCCTAACTTGCAGTGCAGAATGTTAACCAAAATGGGATCAAGAGATCCTTCTTCAGTCTTCATTAGCTCACTCTTGGAGAGGTTGATCTTGAGGCCTGAGACAGCTTCAAACCATCTTAGAACAAAGCCTAGAGAAATCAACTGATCAGCTGAAGAATCACAAAAAAAGATGGTATCATTAGCAAACTGGAGCAAGGGGATCTGATCTCTTCCCACCCCAGCTTTAAACCCTTGAATAATGCTGCCAGCTGCTGCCCGACAAGTGAGCTTACTTTAGAGCTTCCATAATTATATTGAAGAGGGAAGGGGACAGAGGATCCCCTTGCATTAGACTTCTTGAGCTTTTGAACTTTCCACAATGGACACCATTAAAAAGGATGGAAAAGGTGGGAGTAGTGACACATACCTTGGTCCAGCTCCTCCATTTTGAGATAAAGTTCATTCTCTTCAGCATATAATCTAAGAAATTCCAGCTGACATGATCAAAAACTTTTTCTAAATCCACCGTGAGGATTAGCCTATCTCTACCTTCCCTCGTTTTTTTTTTTTTTTGGATCAGCTATCTCTACCTTCTCTCTTCCCTGAGTCAATCAATTCATTGGCAATGAGAACACCATCAAGAATTTGTCTCCCTTCAACAAAAGCTCCTTGGGAGGGGGAGATAATCTGACCCATCACCCTTTTCAGTCTTGAAGCTAAGACTTTCGCAAGGATGTTTATTATAGACACTTCCCAGGAGACTGATAGGTTTGAAGTCCTTCAAGCCCCTTCCTTCTTGGGAATCAATGTGATGAAGTTCAAACATCTTTCTAGAGCAATCGTTGAGTGGGATTCCTCAAAAACCTTCAAGAGGTCTTGTTTGATAAAAGACCAGCTCATCTTATAGAACTTCACTGTGAAACCATCAGGGCCTGGAACCTTGTCCCCTTCCAAATGAAAAATAGCCTCCCTGATTTCATCCTCAGAGAATGTCTTCTCCAGGTCGAAAACATCCTCATTAGAAATTCTATTAAAGTCCAACCCATTAAAGCTTTGACCTTCTACTCCAGCTTTCTTTGTGAAGATAAAGAGTAGAAGTCAACAATGGCATTTTTAATATGGCTTTTATCGGCCAGCATCTACCCATCAGCTTTTAAAGCCTTGGTGCTATTAATATGCCATCTAGCATTGGCCATCTTGTGAAAAAAAACAGTGTTATCACATTTTACCCATAAGCTCCGAGATCTTTGCCTCCATTTTTACCTCTTCTTGAAAAGTAGTTTTGTCATAGTTCATCTTGGCCTGAAGTCCTTTTCCTGTTGTCCTCATTCAAAGGACCCCTCTCTTCCCTCCAAATCAAGATCAACAATTTGCTAAAAGTAGTCTGCCTTTTTAGCTTCTACTCCCTGGAAAACTTCTTTGTTTTAGACTCCAATTTTATGTTTCAACTCCTTCAATTTCAAGTGGAAGATGTGACTTGCTAAACCTGTGAAGCTCATGCTTTCCCACC